ACGATGGAAACAGTTATATTCGTAAGGATCTGTGAAATATTTTGCTAATTATTGTTCTATGATGAAACACCAGACGATTACATTTATCTTTCTAATGCAATTCAAACATAAAAAGTACATTTGTTTAAAAAATGGAAAAGCTCCAGGTGTAAAAGAGATTAAAAATTGATTAAGTTATTAAAAATAATGCGAAAATTGATTGTGTACTTGCATATGTAAACACTGACATCTTGCTTACGACCACATCACATTGAAAGACTGGTTCCCGTATGATCGTCGAAGTTGAGCCTGGTCAGTACCTTGACGAGTAATCGCTTGGAAATGCAAGGTGCTGTAAGCTTGTGTGTGTGTGGGTGGTGTAATGGATAATGGCTCAGAATTGTTAATCGGAGAGCAGAGTTCTAATTCCAGCTGGATTCTTTATATTGAAGTACATACAAGTACCCTTGGGAAAACTGTGGGAATACACCACTTCTCCCCTAACTATGCGTTAATTTGTAAAAATTGGATCACTAAAATCATTATCTCTCATATAATCCTTATTCCTAATTTCTAAATACCTTTAAATCTTTCCCTCTCATCAAATTAATTCACTGTTTTAACATAAACATTTTCTTTTGACCGTCCAGAAAATAGAATGAAAAAAAAATGCTAAAAATGGCAGAAGAATGTCTATTGTGCATGCATACCAAATACAAGATCATTATCTCAAACAAAAAAAAAATCTTACAATCTAAAAATATTTTCTGGCTTGCCAGGGTCATAAGCCGTAGAAAACAAATCAGTCAATCAATCAATCAATGATATTAATTCAGACGGTAGACGAAATATTTATATTTCACCAGGTGGTCGAAAAAAATTTTCGAAAGAATATTTATATATATATAAATGAAAATAAATCTGGTAACATTATTTTCGCTTTGTGGATCGCTTTATTTTCCAGTGGAATATAGAATTATTTTAAAGTTGACATCAATGACATTAATTCAGGCCGGTATACGAAATAAATTACTGTTTAAAATAAACAGAGCGTCTACTCAAACATGTGTATCCACCGAAAATAACATTTAAAGTAATCAAACACTGGCATAAAAAATATAACATTACATTTACAAATGTTTTCATTTTAAATTGCGTAAACAATGAAATTTACCCAAATCGTAAGATAAAATATCCTTGTTCTTAATTTCTAAATGCTTTTAAAGATTTCACCCTCATCAAATTGATTCAAAAGGACATTAATATTGATACAATGTTTTAACATATGATGAACACGCATAAACACTTTCATTTAACCTTCCAGAAAATACAATGAAAAGAAAAAAAATGGTAGAAAAGATACAAAATGCGCACATATGCAAAATACAAGATGAAAATTTGATGGGTACATTTTATTATTTTAAAATGAGTATCTTTCATTAATTACTTTAATTATGACAGCAAACTTATCTTGAAATTCTTTTCTGAATAAATATTCCCAAATATACTCCCATTGATGAAATGTTCTGTAGGTGCCTTTTTCTTTTAAAATGGAGTAAGGAATTCTCATAAAACGAAATTTTCTTTATGGATAAGGACTTCATGACTTCATGGATAAGGACTTCATGATTATATCTAATTTTAGCGAAGTCCTTATAAGCACTCCAGCCGTCTTGCAGGCATTTATAATAATCATTGCCTAAAATACTTTTCTAGAAGAGATGTAAAATGATTGGCAAAAAAATACAAAATGAAAATGAATACAATGGCATCAGCTTTCTGCTTTGATTTTATCCAATATTGAATATTTTTATTTTTTGGAAATACGTATATATTTAAATTAGGGATTAAACTGAAATCACTTATTACTTAAATAAAAAAAATTGTATGAATTCTTTTTCTTGATACTATAGTAACATAAATCTCGATCGTCACGCCCTGGGTGGGGACTATTCTGCATTCTTACCGAAAAAATTTTGAATGGTCTCTCTCGTGGCAGGTAACCTTATATTTCCCGCGAATACCATTATCAAGTTTCAAATGATTCCTTTAACATCAGACGTTCAGATCATCTGCGCTATTATGGGTGTTCTATTTTATAAAAAGATATCCTAATTAGTTACCAGCATTTTAGGAGAAATTTGTTGAGAGTCCTATCACTCCAAATCATTCTATGCAAATAAATAATAATAACTTTGATTTCCGTAATGCAACACATGTATCCCAGTCTTTAATGTTTGGATTGAAGGTGAAAGACCTCGGATTGACCAAGAAGCCCGCTTGAACATTTTTTTTCTCGAGTGATAAAGAAGCCATTTACGTCAAGTGAATTTTTGCCAATCGTAAATATTTGTAACAATTTGATTGATTGGTTCATTTTTGACCAATGAAAATCTATTTCTAAATTTAAATTTGACGCTCTTTTGGTCCTTTGAGATCGTCTGCTTTTTATGATTTACTTTAACATTTTAAATTCAAATACTTGATGACGTCCTTCTTTCTTCTTTGCATTAGTAAGTTAAGATTTTAAAAAGTAATATAAAATAAAATATTCACGTTTTCGTTTTTAACTGTAAAAGTATTTGACAGTCGACAGATAATTTTTTAATTCATTTTTTTTTTTTTCGTTAACACTGTTAATAGACGTGTTTTTACATAAAAAGACATTGCAAGATGCAGAAGCTACTTGCAAACATAATTTTGGTACTAGTTACCTAAGTAACAGTAAGTACAATTTTTTTAGGTAGCAAATGAATTTTCATAACATGAAAGTGGCTTGATGATATTAAATTTTATTTTAAATTTTAAGTTCTCCAATTTATTATCTAAGGGGAAAATTATATCAAATTACTTTCTTTCTAAAAGGATAAAAAAAGTAAAAAATATATTACTAACTTTCTCTTTTTAACCTGTAAATATAGATTGATTTTATAGGGTCATTTGTTTAAATTTTGAAATGTCGATCGGACGGAGAAATCCTCAACATTTTTTCGTGTATGACAACGCTTGATTCCAAGAAATTTAAAATAGATTAATAAATAAAATTAAGTGTTCATTTATCTTGCATTTATTCTTAAGATTAAATCAACTCTTCGGCAAACGTAAAATATAAAAAAAATTCAATCAAGACCCCTGATGCCATCTGCACGAAATTCGGTATAGTGAGATAAGTGAACAATTAATTTTATTTATTAATATTAATGATCTATCTCTTGATATCAAGCACTCTAATTACAAAGACCGCTTGCCTTAAAAACATTATCTTCCACAAATACACTAGTCGACCTCATTTTTATTTTTTTGCTTTTTATTGTTGTTGTTTTTTTCATGCGAAATATTATTGTTATTTCAAATATATGTAGATAAAATAAATATATGTAAATATGTTGTTTTTATGTAGATAAAGATGCCGTTTTCCTTAACTTGCAATCAGATGGCACGAAATAAAAGAATGTTTCAACATTTATCTGCACATTCAGGTTTGTAAATTTAATTTACAAATATTATTACATTTTGCTTATTTTAAAATCATTTTCGCATTTCGATAAAGTTTTTTTAAAATATTTTAGTCTGCTTTTTCGTATATCTTTTCTTATTTGGAAAAGAATAAAGCATATCAGTGATAATTATCATTTATTTATAAAAACTAAATTAAAAGCATTTTGAATTAAAAAATAATAATAATTGTATCAGAATTAAGAGGTACTACTCAACTCTTCGGGTAAAGAATCCGACTCTGAAAAAAAAATCATATTCTAATATATTGTTTTCCAACATTTTATTCAAAATAACCCCTTATCACATTTTTGCAAACGGGCTCACAATCGCAACAAAAGTCACTACTGTATTTGATTTGTTCGCGTTGATCAAATTCCACAAATTTCCTGGTACCTTGTGTGACAAATACAGAATGATCCAAATATTGCAAAGAGGTTTCATTATATATTAACTCATTTTTTTTTTTTAAATTTCCAATTTCATGGAATCATATACAGTATATAGAGGAACATATTTGAAAATATTAAAAGATTAATTTAAAAACTTACTTTAAAAATGCGTTTAAAAATTTACTAAAGTGTCACACTACTTTGTGACTTTTAGTCTGACCTGTACACACACACATAAATATATATATATGAATATACGAGTGGTCTATTAACAGACTGTTTCATGCAGTGGAGCTTAGAAGCGTCCACAGAGAAAAAATCGCCCATCTGCGTAGAACAAACTGTTAACGTTTAAATAACCAAAAAAAAGTTACTTTCATTATATATATATATATATATATATATATATATATATATATATATATATATATATAATATATACACATGATAAATTAAGAAAACGCCTTAAAAATCCATATCCATTATAATTTATTTCATGAATATTGTTACATTCATCTCTTTACAGAGCGAAATGTTTTAACAAACTCTTTAAATCAATTTTTCTTAAAATCTTTCGATCTGAATAGATGAATATAACAATATTCATGAAATAAATTATAACCAATATGGATTTTAAGGTGTTTTCTTTAATTTATCATTGTATATTGTTCTGTAACTTACATTGAGCTCTCACTGGATTAAAAGTCCTCCTTGGAATTATCCTTGCCAATTACAAATTGGTATTATATATATATATATATATATATATATATATATATATATATATATATATATATATATATATATATATATATATGAGTGGGGATGCTGAAATGTTCTCGAATCGATTACCCCAGAAATTCCAATGTATAGACATCTATAAGCCCGAGAACATTTATATCCTACTGGTTTAGGTATTAACAGAAATATTTATCAATATTAATTTTTATGTGTTAAAATTTAAATATTAATACCTATTCTTATTAATAATAATATTAATAAATTGTACTGACAAAATAGGCGATTCATTCCTTCGGAAAATTTATCAAAGGCAAAATGCAGACATTTATCAAGAATACCTGTATTTTCCGCATTACAGCACAGGCTATTTGATATTTGAAAACACACACACACAGATAGATAGATAGATAGATAGATAGATAGATAGATAGATAGATAGATAGATAGATAGTCAGATAGATTTTGAACAGACTGAGATAGACACATAGATTTTGAACAGACTGAGATAGACATCGATGCTTATTAAAAATAGACTATTTCTACTAACTTCCTTTGTGATATCATGTTTTATACTAACAAACTAATTGCTTCATTCCTTTCTATGAATAATTCCAAAATATACAGACCAGAAAAGCATAACTTATTAAGAAAACATTGCATGTACCTTAAATTTATCTAGCTTGAAGAATTTGCATAAGTGATCTTGTTAATACCATCTCCCTCTAGGACATAGGCGATCATGGCACTCCACAGCTTCATTTTTCTTTATTATTTGTAAATTGTCCTAAGTTTTGGGGAAAGATTATTATTTTTTCTACTGATAGTTCACTCTATGCAAGGCTCAAGAGCCACTGAAAATAGAGGGTTACTGAGTGAGTTTGTTGTAAGGTCGGGAAAAAGAGGAAGGAAGGGAGTTTTATGAGGACGAATAGAAAAGATATTGGTTGACCCTGGACTTAAAGTGACCAAGGTTGTATTTGTTAGGGAAGCATCCTCTTGGGAGTTTGTCGCACAAAGTAACAATCCTGAAGAAGAAGCTGCCTGGGTGGAATTTGCTCCTTATCAAAAGAACTCGAAGGGAATGGGGATAGTTTACAGCCGTAAATATAGTAGGGTGGTCCTGGCTGTGAGGGCCTGAGCCGGTGGGATGAAGGAATTTAACTCGTCCGACCATCTGCCATAGTAATAGCTATAGAGAAGTGAGAGGCTCGCAACGTGGAGAATAATTAATCACCCACAAGGCTGCGTAATTATTTTTGAACACTGTCAGGCTGGAGTGTGAGGACTGGGCAGCGCCTGGCCTGATGTCAGCAATACTTCATTCTTGGTCTAATCTGACTCTTGTGAGTATGGAAAGCGAGAGTTAGGTATTTTCTGAAGTGATATAAAGAACCGAGCATTCTTCCAACATCTTTTGCGATGGTGCGAGTATACGCGTGCTATTTGAGGTCGGGGGTGGGGAGCTTTAGATCCAGTAGGTGTTGAAGGCAATAAGTCTCTGAGGGTATGACCACTCATCAAGATTGGTGTAGGTTTAGGCTTAGCTAGGTGATATTGAAATGTTACTAGAGTTTGTTTTGAAGGTATTGAATGATTATATATATATATATATATATATATATATATATATATATATATATATATATATATATATAAAGGAAGAGCTTATAGTAGTTCCAACGAGATAAAAGTGTGTATAATAAAAAGAAGATAGGAACCGCAAACGTTTTTGGTTGTAATTTAGTTTTTTTTTTTAAATATATTATGCTTTATTTTGCATAATTTTGTTACACGAGTTTCCGGACTCGCGACCTTCATCAGGCCATGCGTGGAGATTTCCACATATTATTAAAAATAATTAATTTTTTTCTTTTTTTCCGATATTAAATATTCTCGATATGAGACATTCTCTTTTTTTTGTGTTAGTGACCCAAATGTCTTTCTTGAACTGGTAGTGAAAGAGTTCTGCGTGAAGGGTTATAAAACAATTCAGATTCTCGGGCACACGCACGAACACTACACCATATATGAGAAAATATATGATGATAATAATATAATAATATGATAATGAAAATAATATATAATAATATGATCATATATATATATATATATATATATATATATATATATATATATATATATATATATATATATGATAAAAGTATCAAGGCATGCTATATTTATGGGTAAAAGTGGTCAATATCAGTGGTAGAGCGTGTGTAAAAGTGGTCAATATCAGGGATAGAGCGTGTGTAAATATAAGCGGGAAAATTCAGGTCAACACCGAGTGGCCACAGTCAATTTAATGCTTGAATGCAAGCTTCAGGCCATGTGTGTCGGATGATAGCTCGACAATTTATTCAGGTTGCGATGGATAAATTGTCGTATAAATTACGCAAAAATGAAAACAACACTGACATCTCATCGTCATTTAATAACGCTGATATCTATTTTTTTTTAACCAAAATTAGACGAAAAAATATCTTAAAATTCTAAAGAGTAAATTTATTGAATAAAATCTCCATTGGTTTCATCCACGTCCTCCTGACGACTTCGGAATCTCCTGCGATTTTTCTGGGGGGTCACCTTGTTTAAGTTGATGAATGCTACCATAATCCTTGCCTTCAATCCATCTTTAGTGTTACAAGGAGTTTTGTTGGCCTCTCACTCAATTGCGCCCCACATCTAATAATCAAGGGGGTTGCAATCTAGGCAGATTGGTGGCCAGATGTAAGGGGTGATGCGGTCCCAGAAATTGTCTGACAGCCATGACTGGATTCTTCTGCTTGTGTGGTATAGTGAAGTGTCCTATTACCAGACATAGAGTCTTATAGCAGCCACCTTCTTGACCTAGGGCAGCATTACCTCCTCAGAGCACTTAATGTACGCCTCCGTAATGAGTCTGAGGTCCTGTGGGGAAATGATTGGAGGTATAATGTCGCCATGACTAATGATCACTCCAAACTCCATGGTGTTGACTGGGTATAACATCCAACTCTTGCTGAATCCTCTGCATTGTCCTCAGATTGACATACAAACACCCTGAAATGTTCGTATTGAAGCTTCTGGTGCAAATGCCAAGCAGTACAGCATGCAGTTTCCAAATTTCTGGTGGAGTGAATTGTGTCATGGTGCTCTTTTTTCCACAGATTGTGTCCAACTGTCCCTACTATACTGTGCAGTCGACAAAATCAAAAACAAACATCACGGTTGCACCAAAATTAAAATATAAAATGGCGACAATTTACCCATCGCACCCTGTATATAGCACAATAAAACTGATAGTGTGTGTCTGAGTATTCAAACATTGTACTCAGACATTGGGCAATTTACTAAACATAAATTGAGTGCTAAATTTAAATAGTACAATGGTTGAATACTCAGAGACTGAAAATCTGTATTTAAACATGTTCCAAAAACAAAGAAGAGTCCAAAATATAGAAAAAATACATTTTAAAAATACTTACCAAAGAACTTTCGTTGTTTTGTTATCAAATGTGTAAAAAATTAAAAACCACTCCATAAAAACATCATGATATCATATATATATATATATATATATATATATATATATATATATATATATATATATATATATATATATGTATGTATATACCCCCACACATATGTACACACACACACATATATAAACACACCCATATGCGCACACACGCACACATATGTACACACAGATATGTATGTATGTATGTATACATGCATGCATACACATGCCCGCACATTGAAACAGAATTAAATTTATTAAAAAATGATTACTTTTAGTTTCTTCTCAAGTCAAATATCCTACATTTAGTCTCCACGCATAATTTGACAATTAGAAAAGCCCGGGATTTTTCGACTGTAATAGACGGAGATAAAATTACATATACATATCTCAATGACAGATTATGGCGCCGTTCTTTATCAACGTGGTAGCCGGTGTCGAGGATAGAAAGGGTGCGGCAGCTCTTCTACGTGTTTTTTGTGTGCAATGCAAACAACAATCAGTCGTTCGAAGTTATGCAACATGCAATGTAAATACAGTTCGATTACAGCGCAATAAGCCACTTAAAAAAAAATAACTAAGAAAAAAACCTAAAATACAAAATCCCAAATGAAACAATTAATCAAATATTATTTTCTATATGGGAATGGTTTCTTGCAGTAAATTATTTTCTAACTTAGTCATATTTCAAAGTTACACCAATGTAGCACTTAAAATGGATCTCACTCACTCAAAACATTGACAAATTGTTCTATGATACGAGATTGTTTACTAAACATTGCAGTCTAGTGGGCATGCATATAAAATTTATTTTAGAATATTAAAACATGTTAAAAATCGCTTCACAATTACAATTATGTTTCGACACCACAAATGTGTCTCTTCAGTTGAAGTTAAACTACTGGCACTTGCTAGTAGTTAACATCGCCTGGAAAGACACATTTATTGAGCCTTCTTTTAAATTAAATGTTACGTACAGTGAAATCATACTCCACTTGTTCTCATTTTACCTATATATATATATATATATATATATATATATATATATATATATATATATATATTGTTCATTTTATATATATATATATATATATATTGTTCTCATTTTATATATATATATATATATATATATATATATATATATATATATATATATATATGAAGAAATATAGCTTTAAGGTGTGCTATATTTAACTCACACTCTTTTGGGTCCAGTCACTGACCTAACTAACGAATTGATCCACTGTGTGAGTACAATACCTGGTTAAGGCGGCGGAGAACTTGGAGAGGAGAATTAACAGATAACTGACATCCATTAGACATTGCAAGTGGAACGAGAACAGTCAACCCCAGTGAGCGAAATTAAGGGTTCAGTTCGACATTTTAATCAACTGAAGAAGGCCAAAGTGTACAACGGCCGAAACGGTGTGATAAATATGGCAACAAAGATGAGGATGATAGTCCAAACAATGTAAATAGTGTGCATAATACCTCATCTCAGAAATATAGACAGATACTGAACGAAAGTTCTTTGTTAAAGATTTTGGCCTGTTTATTTTTTTTTACCTATATTTCAGACTATTTTCAGTTTTCGGCGGAAATTTTAATATTAAATGTCCAATATCTGCGTTCTTTCGGCTTTCAGAATTCATTATCAAAGTCTTTGTTAATAATGTTTTGGTCATATGTGTTTTTTCAAATATCATGCCTACAAACATCATTTTTTTTTTTCAGATATCGTGTCTTCACATGTTGTGTCTGTTTTTTTTTGTTTTTTTTTGTTTTGTTCTTTTCGGTATCACCACAAAGAAATAATGCTGGAATGTAGTTCCAACATTGCCAACAGAAACTATTTGATAATGGCTCTTTAAATCCGAAAGAACTCAAACAACAGACAATTTATATTCAAATTTTCACCGATAACGAGGTACAAAATATAGGAGAAATAAACAAAAAATCCTTAAAGAAA